ATGATCAGTCGTAATTCTGATAATGATGATTTGAGATTTGATATATATTTCTGAGTAGCATTATGTGTCTATGTGAACGTTGTTATTAATGTGAATAAAATGCGTTGATGTCTGCCGTAAAGTTTGATTTAAGAAAATTTAAGAATATTTGATTCTCTCTCTCCTATAGCCCAATAGGCACTTCATAACAGACATTATAATGAAGAATAAAAACGAAGTTGGCAACCCTCTTCTACCTCTCCTTCCCTCTCTGTGATGAGAATAAAATAAAGCAAATCCGATATTTCACTGCGGTTCTCCCCCCCTCCCCCTCCCCCAGATCCCTCTCCTGGTGACCGTGGGCTGCCACGTGTTCTGGTCGGGCGGCTACCTCCTCAACACGTGGCAGACGGCGTGGCCAGTCGAGATCCTCTACTTTGTGACGTTCCTCGGCGCCGTGGGCGGGGGTCCCCAGGGCCTGCTGTCCTCCACCATCGCCTACATCAGCGACGTGACCTCCGTCAAGAGCCGGACGGGCCGCGTGAGCAACACGGTGTCGTCGTGGTACCTGGGCGGTCCCCTGGGCTTGCTGGTGGGCGCCGTGGCCATCCAGAACGTGGGCGTCGAGCTGGCCCTCGCGCTCGTCTTCGCGTCCTACGTCAGCATCTTCATCTACATCTTCTTCTTCATCAAGGAGAGCCACGGGCCGTTCGCGGAGGTGAAGGGCGTCGAGGAATCCCCGATCAAGAAGGAGGACGTGACGAAGCTGCGCATGCTCGTCGACCTCTTCAGCTGGCGGCGCGTCCTGGAGTCCTTCAAGACGGCGCTCAGGAAACGGGAAGGAAGCGCCAGGGTCATCCTCATAGCGCTCATCGTCAGCAACATGATCCGCCGCGCAGCCAGAGGTAAAAAAAAAGAAAAAAAAAAAAAAGAAAAAAGGCAGATACATTTCCATTTAAGTAAAAACTCTTAACCCATTCTCGAGATCGAGATGGATCAACCGTCAGACCAATAGAATCTTAATCATTCAGCCCAGTAATATTTGAAACAATATGAATATTTAATCAACACAAATTCAAAAGCCCCAAACTGGAGGAGGTTCTCTGACGCCACGACGCGGTTCCATTGCAGGGTTCTACATGTACAGTTTCGTCCGCCGCGCTTTATCCTGGGACGCTACAGACTTCTCTTACTGGTCCTCTTACCGCAGTCTTGTCTCCGCCGTCGGTAAGTGAAAACAGTCCTTAAAACCTTGTCCTTCATCATGAATAGTAAGAATTAAATGCCTTGGATTGTTATGGTATGTTTTCGACTCGTGTACGATGTCAGATTATACACGCGTTCATTTCAAACAGAGATCGTGGACTATTTTCGACAGAGAGGGAGATCGAAAAAAAAAAGAGACGACCATGCAAAAACCAGACTGAATCTCCCGCAAAAACACGCCCCCTACATTCACTCGACGTCTTAAAAGACCCCCATCGTTCTTATTCCCACCTTCTCCTGCTCTTAATTTCACCATCTTTTTTGTTTTTTATTCCCCACAGGGTCGCTCATTCTGGTCCCATTGCTTACGCGTCTCATCTCCGTATCCGACCCAATGCTGATCGTCATCGGGTCTCTGTCAATCATTGGGGAATACTGTTGCTATGGCCTCATCGGCGGGGTGGCCACGGGCTTCTACATCTGGCTGGGTCCTCCTGCGGGTCTCATCTCCAACGCCAGCATCATCGCGCAGAAGTCCATGGCGACCAAGCTGGTGGCTTCGTCGGAAAAAGGTGAGGAGTCTGTCAGGTCTTCGAAATAGGGTGTTTGTTTAGGTCGGATCCTGCGTCTGTCTTCTCTTCTTTTTTTGTTTCTGTTTCTGTCTGTCTTTCCTCTCTCTTCTTCTTTCTATCCTCTCCTCTCTCTCTCTCTCTCTCTCTCTTCTCTCTCTCTTCTCTCTCTCTCTCTCTCTCTTCTCTCTCTCTCTCTCTCTCTCTCTCTGTGTGTGTGTGGTGTGTGTGTGTGTGTGTGTGTGTGTGTGTGTGTGTGTGTGTGTGTGCGTGTTTGGACGTAACCTCGCATGGTACAAATATCCATGCTGTCGTGAGAAAAGGTCAACGAGAGGACGAGAATCAAAGCCTTGAATACTGATGAATGCCAAAGCGTTTTAGGTACACCTCATCAAGCCAGAATTTTGTTACATAATACCCACCTCGTCTAAATGGAATTAAAGAAAGAAGCAGCAGAGGAAAAGAAAAAAACTTCAAGTCGCAAAAAAATAACGTAATTTAGCAAAGCAATCAAAGGTTCACGAATTCCCCCTTTTTTATTGTCCCCAAGATCATAAAAGACGGTCAATGAGCCCTTGATGGATCCACCGAATTCTTCAATTTTTTTTTTTTTCTTTCTTCATCTTCCTTTTTTTTTTTTTGCTTTCCAGGTCGTGTTAGCGCTGTCATGGCTGCTACCCAGAGCCTCATGCCTATGGTGGGCTACGCTATGTACGCCCCCATATACCGTCAGACTGTGGAGAAAT